GTGTGCGTATGGCTGTAGATGTAGGTAGATGTTTGGGGTGCGGATGTAAGTGTGAGTGGAGTGTTGGCGTGTGGATAGAAAGAAGATTCATGTTCACCTACACCCCACACCCACATTCACACCCTAAGATATGACAAAAAAACTATCTAGAACTTCGTTCTTCCCATGTAAAAAAAAGGTTATAAGAAAAAGTTAAAAATCAGATTCAAAATCGATTATAATGGCACTATTATAATCTGATTTTAATCAGATTTCCCAGCCTTAAAAGACAAATTTTATTTGATTTAACCCTCTTTAATCTATTTTAAGCGGTTAAAAAAACTTTAATCAATTAAAATCGATTTTTCATAATAAATTATAATTGATTTAATTTTAATAATCAATTAAAATAGATTAAAAAAGATTAAATCAAATAAAATCTGTCTTTTAAGGCTGACAAACCTGATTAAAATCAGGTTATAATAGTGCCATTATAATCGATTTTTAATCTGATTTTGAACCTTTTCCTATAACTTTTTTTTTACATGGGTTACGATGTTGGTAAAATGATTAGGTTTTTTTTTGCTAAGAATAATTCATTCTTTAATGCATTTCTTCTCGGTTCTCATTGTTGATGAAATCAAGCCTGTTAAAACAGAAAGTCCTAAAAATCAACTTCTAAAAGCAGGAGAGTCAGTAAGTCTGTACCCGATCCTAGCGGACAAAGCAGAACGAAGAGATGAGGAAAACAATGAAACTGTTTTTTGCGACCTCTTTCTGCTAATTCTATCAAAACAAATGACAGGAATCTCAAATTCTCCTGATAACTTCAATTTTTCATGAGAAATCGATTGATGAAAAAGCCATATATGTTACAGTTTTTCAAGAAATCGTCCTCTGGACGTATGTTGGACTTATTTGCCAAAACATGGACAGTTTCATGCGGAATGGTAGGGTGTAAGTATTTATTTAGCTTTATTTTCTCTTACGACCACATCCACACACAACTTGTACAATTCCAACTGGTATCTGTAAGACTTGGAATACTATGAGTAAGTAGGAGGTTTCGGTATCTTTCTCAAGCAAAATTGAGTCTATTTATTAAAATTAAAGTACATGTTAAGATAATGTTAAACTCACCAATTATCCTGAAGGATTACTTATAATGATTAATCCTCATGCAAAAGCATTAAAATTTGTTTGATACTTATGCTAATCTTACACATAAACACTACATCGTATTATCAACAATTACGAGATTTTAGGACTTTTTCTAAATAAACAAGAACGTTTGTATTATCTACCAACTATGAATGTCATTTTTGTATTCTAAAATCTAGAAACCGAAATAAAAACTCTGTTTTTCCTTGTTTTCATTGTTTACTCCATTCAATTACAATCATTGCAGTTCTATCCATACCCATAATTCATCCATCACAATACTAGCTAAAATTTTTGGAAGGAATTCTCTTACCAGGCGTAGATAAGCACAACCAAAGTACGACTAAATCAGGTAGACACAACACACCAACTGAATATAATACATAAAATTCAGCTAAATATATATAATTGCTAAAATAGGGATTCTTTTTCAATTCAAGAAAAAGAAAAGGCTTATTCATCATGCACTATTACGATTCAAAGACATACTCAAGAATAGCATCGAAGTGCATAAAAATCATCCATTTGAAAACCAAAATACACAACATTCATCTGATTGATTGTGACATATGAATGCAACGTAAAATAAATATTTACTTGCATTGAAATACTTAAACTTTTGCATCAGAACTTTAACCCTCTGGAAAAACGAAGAATTCACAAAAACATAATGTACTAGAAAAATGTACTTTTTTTTTGAGGACAAGCTGGATGAAGTAGCTTGCTGCCTCTCTCGATAATGATGCTTATTCGGCTATTTCACACATCCAGGCTGTGAATACTTTACATTAAACACAAACTTATTTAGGAGAGAAATACAGATGAAGAAAGGAAACATTGACAGAGATACGATAGACTGAACAAAGAGAGATACGTGAGATTTGATATCATTATCGGCATACTCCCACTCAAATCAGACACTCCTGGATGTCTAAAAAAACAGAAACGTATCGGAGGGATACAAAAATTAGACAGTGAAAAAACGAAAAAAGAAATTAAATACAACATAAACTGCATCATCCTCACGATAAACACATCAGGACTTATCAAAAAAACAAAAATTTCTATGCGATTGATGTTGTTATACTTATTGTATCACTTAACCGGAAGAAAATGAATACTTAAACAATTTAAACTAAACCCCTCCCCATAATAGAAGCCCCTCCCATATTAGAAGCCCCCCCTTATTAGAAGCCCCCCTTGGAGGGGTCTCTCCAGCAAAATTTTCAGTTTTGCCCAGCAAAACCCGGCCAAAGTTTGCAGGATCTAATAGAAGCCCCCCGGGGGCTTCTAATATGGGGAGGGGTTTAAGTCATAAAAATTAAAAATCTATATAATTTAACAAAAAGTCTATTTTTCACGTCGTTCATATATTGGTCATGATTTCATCACAAAATTCTTCTGTTGTCCGATTATTGTGTGTGGATGTGAGTGTAAGTATAGGTGTGGAGTGTGGGTAGATATGAATAAAGAATAGCTCCACACCCACACATACACCCAAAATGTCATAAAATATTGTGCATGAAATTTTTAAAGGTTTATTCTTCAACATGAGTCAATTTAGCAAATGGTTGGGTCTGAATCATTCGTTAGATGTCAAGATGAATAAATCATTGGATGTAATTAAGCCAGATTCAATAGAAATAACATCATGATTACCCTGATGTATTGATAATACTACAAAATAGCATTCGATCAGTCAGCATGTACTTGTTAAAACAAAATAATATTTATTCAACTGATGAAACAACTAGCAACTGGTTATGTTTAAACTTTTAAATCCATTTCTTATAACTGTTTGTTAGATGAAACATGTTTTAATTATCTACGTAAAATAGAAAACAAATGCATACAGACTCAACGACAAAAGATTCGATTGGTATTTAAATCATTGAGTAGCTATACATTTTTAAAAAATAATTTTCAACTACTTATTTTCAGATAGCTAGCTAAATGAGAAAAGCGACTATATGGTAGCGTTGAAATAAATAAAGATAAAAAATAAAAATAAAAAAATGTTTATTTAGAAAATCTCTCTAGTGAGAAGCTTCAGTATTAGAGTCAGGATACTTCTTCATGAAGTAAGGAAATACTTTGGGAATATCTTCCCGCTTTAATAAGGATTTCAATCTAATCAGTTCCTCACGAGCGCTGTCAATTTGTTCACAATACCAACTGTAGAATTCAATATATTGATTATGTTCCTTGGACATGGTATAGATTTACTATGAAAACGCCGAAAGAAAAAATGTCGAAGGAAAAAACGGCGGAAAAAAGGTCGAAAAATAAACGTCGAACGAAAAAAAATCGAAAAAAAAAACGTCGATCATGTAATATGTCGAAACTTATGAGATGTCGTTATTGACCAACATTGATTTTCTTTCCTATTATATTTCTCGTGTTTTCTTTCGTATTTTGTTTTATAGTTTCGTTGATAAGCTAATGCTTTTCCTCTAATAAGTCATTGCATGAGTGAACATTCTAGAATATCGAATACACACAGAATATAAAGAACACACAGAAACAAAGAAAAATCGAGGTATTGTCTTATGAGGATGTGGGTGTGGGTGTGGGTGTGTATATATATTCTTCATCCACACCCACACCCACACCCACACACCCACCCATACATCCACACTCACACCCATACCCACACACCCACACCCACACCCTTTACCATTTAGTATCAATAAATCCCATTTTTGACGCGCTTTCTTTTGGTATAAAATTGGTTATGTATACTATTTGAAATTATTGTGTTAGTCCCCTGGAATAATATTTTTACCCACCCTGTAGTTATTGATAAGACAGAGAGTACAAATCAATTATGGATTAATCTTTTCAAAGATACTGATAATCAATCAAATATTGAAAAGATATTAAATATTGGTTTGCATAATGAAATATTTTTGACATCACAAATAGCCATAATTATTGATGAATTGTTGCAAAAAGGAAAACAAGATAGTATTTCAATAATTTTTCCATATATTATAAAACCATTCAATGAAGTATTACCAATTGTTCAGAAATGGTTTACTCAGCATAATAATAATTCAATTAAAAAATTTAGCAGCTATTCTACTTGCAGAAGCAAAGAATGTTTTTCAATCAGCAATCAATACAATTGTTGATTTACTAATAAGTGATAATGATCAAATGAGATATAGAGCTCAACAGATTTTTCAACATCCAGAAAGAGATGTCAAAGAACCGATTAAGAGAATATCTGTAATAGGAGAAAAGACATTGATAATAATTCTTGAATATGCATTGGCAAAAGAGCATCTTTTATGAATTCGAGCTTATATTGCTAGTTTTTTCTATGACTTATTATGGGATGATCCTAGAGTTTTTCGTCATTTAAATGAACATATAAATCAATCAGAAGAGAGAATCTTTGCCAATGAACGAAGAATGCAGTTCTTAGATAGGATTCATTTCATAAATGGTCATACTTGGAATTTAATAATACGAACATTAGATTCATCACTTAATCCAACATCAGTAAAAGAACTACTTTGCTCAACGATGATGTTAACACAGAATGATCAGATAAAACAAGAAAATTGGATTGAATTTTCTAGAATATTATCAGTTACAGATATAAATCAGTTTAAAGACAGACTTTTCTTCATCTATAACGATGTTGAAAGAATAGAATTTATGCTTGATAATATTTGTGCATTAACAAATATTAATGATGATACATATTTCGAAATTATTGAATCACGATTGATTCGAGAAATATCCGTTGGATTTGAGAATCTCTCACGAAATAATTATAACGAAATTAAACATATAGGTCGCTGCAACTTGTACCTTTCTATTGATTTAAATCAAACTGTATTGAATATGTTTAATAATATTTCAATAAATATTGTTCTTGTAGAAAATTTAATAACATGGTTATAAAAAAAAATGAGAAATTTTAAAGGTTTTGATGATACATGGTTTTCATTGATGATGTGTAATTCTTTATTATCTTTGGTTTCTGCTTATGTTCAAAAGAAAGATTATTTGTATCAAAAACTAACAAATGCTCCAAATTTTAATAAAATTCAAATGGTTGTACTTTTGAAAAAAATTCTTAATAATCATCCATGTTTTGCAGCAAGAGGAAATGCTTTTATATTACTTGCAGCAATGAACCAACCTGATCATCAAGTAATCATAAATGTCTTGAGCACATTACTTGATGAAAATGTAGTGAAGAAATATACTGCAATTGAAATTCTTTTAATACATTTATCACCCAGTGAGTTTATCGATGATTTATTAGAATTATTAAAAAATGAAAGTGCTATTATAACTTATGAAATATTAAAAATATTCACAGAATTAGCTTTAAATGAAAAGATAGATATAAATGGTAAACTAAAGATCATAAATAATGTAGCAAATGAAATACGAAAATTAAAATCAAAGAAACCGATTAATTATTACTATACAGACATAAAAATTCCTTTCACACAACCTTGGATTAAAATACAAGGACTCTCTGGTAAAGTACAATATTCTATTAATATTGAAGAATCAAAAAAATAATACTATTCAACTTCAAAAGATGATCTATTCCCCGAAACTCGCTACTATTATTTTATTGACTTTAGTTTTTTGCCAATTTTTAATCTGGAAATTCAGTAGACTTCTTAAACTTCAACGTTGTTTTTTTTTTATTTTAATATCAATTAATCATACAAAATATATCCCAATTTTCAATACAGCATAAACACATTCATCATATGTATTTAGAACATAGACATTTCTCTATTGCAACTTTTCTTTATTAGCTTCTGAGACTCCTGTGTATATAGAATCTGAAGAAAATATTTGCTCGTGTGACTTATGTCATAAAAAATATTGGTTGTACCGAATACAGCATCGAATATACTATTGAATACATAGATATTTTTCAAAAACTTCTATTACAAATGATGGGTTCAATGTTAGAAAAAAAAACTACTTTTCAAATGCTGGTTTTAGTGTCACATTGCAAAACATTGAAAATCAAAATATCGAACATATTCGATATAGAATGACAATTGAAAGATTTTTAATGTTGCATTTTCTATCAATTTGCTGCTCCGTTCAATGGAAGAAAGCTTAGACTTTTTATTCTTTTCGAGTGCAGAGAAAGAAAAAGATGAATGAAAAATCGATTATATTTTCACTTCATATACAATGACAAAATTTTCAAGTAGAGTGTGGGTAGGTGTGGGATATGGGTATGGGTGGATAAAAGAAAGAACAACACCCACATATCTATATCGTCTTTCTGAGATAGATATAATTAGAAATATGAAATAATCTTTTAAAAAAATATCAACATCGAGAGCGATAGTAATGCTATTCTAATTTATGATCATTACATATATATGAATCTAAGCAAAAAAGCAGCTTAAAGATAATGAAGCAAATGCTGTTACAGAATGATTCTAATTATGTTAATACAAAAGATGGTAGTTTCAGCTATATTTCTTCTATATAGTAAATAAGAGACTCATATTTGTTATGTTACATTATTTGATTATGAAAATAATTGCTTTGTTCAGCAAGTTATCGATAAAGAAAAGATTATTAATATTTATTTTTGAATTTCTAGACAAGAAAGAAATAGTAAATAAGAAACAATAAAAAAATTCGATGCAAGTTAATATGATTAAAATCTTGAGTAAACGAAAATTTAAACTTGTTGAAGGACTATAGTTTCTTTGACATCAATAAGTTTAGCCAATTTGAAAGCGAACTTTACAATGACAATCTACAAAGTTAAAGAAGTATAGTAGTAATAAAAATGAACGAGATAAACTATTTACTGTAAGAGTAAAAACAGCAATGATAGTAATAGTAATGATGAAGACACCTATTGATAAAGTCATCAGAAGAACTTTGTCTGAATCATCATTGGTCATGCTTCTGGCAGTTAAAGTTATAATACCAGCAAATAGGAGAAATCCAATAACAATACCAAAGCAGATGAGTCCAATTATGCCCAGCCAAGCAAACTAAAGATAGAAAATGCAAAGATCAGGTGTAATACGAACATTTCTTTTTGAAAGAATAATAATCTAGCAAGTTATTGTACCTGTTTTCACGCATTCTCAAATATGAATATAGACATCTAAGATCTTGAAACTGTTAAAACTGTCAAAAATCGTTTTCTTTATAGATTTTTTTTAAACCATGCTTTCGAGAAATAGCAAAAAATATTTCGATAGAAACTTTTTTGTCGAGCATAATTCCAATTTGACTTTGCTCCATGGAGACTTATCACCAGAAAAATTAATTAAACGGCTGAATTTAGAATAGCATTGTAAATCTTTCAATAATTACTATCAATCCAATGTAACACATTTACACTACATCAGTCAGTGTTCTTATTCAATTTTAGAAGAATATCGATCTATTATTGGAAAACATCCAATAGTCTCAATTAAATATAACTATAATTAAAATTAATCAAAATTTCTTTTTTTTTTTTTCGTTCAAATAAATAACTCCTATGATTAGAAAAATATTCGATTCGTTAATCAATAAGGTGAAGTCAATAAAAACTGGATTAAAAAAATTTATTTAAATCAAATGAAATCTACTTTGTAACTTAAAACAAAGAAGATTTGCTTCAAATATTCTACTACGATTTGTATATTTAAAAAAATGATAAATAATACATACCACTCGTAAACCTATTTGAGAATATCGATAAGCAACAAAGATTCCAAAACTGTAGAAAACTATTGAAATAAGACCTTGACCAATTCGTGTACCAACATGATTCTGTTTTATACCAATTGAATTAGCACTTCCAAAAATTGAATTAACCGAACTAATCACACTGAGAGCCTATAAAATTAATATATAATATCAATGAAAGACAAATTGTATTTCGAATATATATAGATGGATCAATGCTGAACGTTCTGCAAGAGTATAAATTTAGTCCAATTATTTTTAGATTAGTACGAAACAAGTTAATATTCATGCTCATTTCAACACATACAAAACATTTTGCATTAATTTCATGTTACCTCTTCTATAGTCTGAAATTATGTTAGATTTCAGTCTGAGAATGCTTCAAAAACAAAAAAATATTCTTCGCAAAGTACCGATACATGAGTTGCTAATAGTTCTCAACAAATGAAAAAAATCTATATTTTTCGCTATTATTGTTGAATTATAATCATCAGGAGAAGAAAACTTACAAGACATACGCCAAGTATGATCAAAAGAACTTTTCGAGTTCGTCGTATTTCGAGGTCTTGAGCCAATGACCATGTTTTGGCAGGAGGTGTATTATTTATAATCATCATAACGACTTGTTCACTTTCTTGTTCAGATTGAATCTCGATGGTGAGTAGTTTAGACTAAACGCCGAAGAATACAGAAATAAAGTAAGTAATAACAAGCGAACAATAATATAAAAAAAATTAGACAAAATGATGATTTTTCTTCCTTCCGCACGGTAACATAATGTACAGAATAGAAAAAAAAAATTTTTAGGGCTTGCGTGATCTTGTCAATGCTTTACTATCAGCAATACAAAAAAAAAAGAAAAAGAGCGATAATCATGTATTCTATTCTGTATAAAGATAAACAAGCAATTAATCATTAACAACTTCATCAGACAATATGAATGTTTACAATACTCAGATAGATAAAAAAAGATTACTTGAATTTCAATCATTGCATGAAAAGATTGAAGGCATTTTTTTTTCTTTATACAAGATGTTTCATCCTTAAAATAGATTCTATCAGTATATTGTACAAATTAATCATTGCAAAATCTTGCATTCTATCATGAACCAAGTATAAACATTGTAACTTTCTAATAAGAAAAATTACAAGATAACATGTTCTGAATTCTTAATACTCATCATATGATTGTAATGATGTATAATAATCAAGCAAATCTTGTTTAAAATCTAACATTTATAGAAATCGAAAAATAATTATAACGAGGTGTGGATGTGGACTCTCTCTCTTCATCCACACCCAAACGCAAAATTCAATCAATTCTACAATCATTTGAAAAATACAAACGAATAAAAATTTAAGGAATAAAACGGTGTTAGTATTACGGAATATGATAGCTATCCAGCTGTTATCATTACCTTCTTGTTTTCGTATCATTATCAAAGATGGACTGAAGAAAAAAAATAAATAGTCAACGTCATTATCTTTTCAACTAAATTGTAGATACGTCCGTTTTAAGATTTTCTGAAGAATTTGTTTTCTATAAAGAAGCGTTGTATTTTAAAATTTATTTATTTTATAATAAACTTATGATTAGGAGAATTAAAAAGCATGACCAGCATAACAAATAGCTTTCTTATAAGAGAAAAATTTTTATATTTGAGACACACATTGAAATTTTATAATTTTAACAATATTTCCACTTAGAATTACTGCTATAAAAATTGATTAGATTCATTTAACGTTGTTCTACTGAAAAAACTTGTATTATCAGATGTGTTTTTATTATATAACTTCGTTTATCTTCTAATAATAATGTATATCATAAATGCCATAAGAAGTGGCAAATTTCATTTTATTCTTTGTTTCATCTGTTCAACTACCATGGTAGCCTGATATAAATATTGATTTAATTGTCTAGTAAACTTCTGAACACTATATTTTCTCTCAATTAACTTTGATATGTATCATTGAGTTTGGCCTAAACTTGGAATTTCATAAGTTCATACTTTTTTATGTTCGCTCCATTTTGACTCTGCTAGATCAATAATACCAACACCCGACTGATTGACACCTCAAATACATTCATTCACTGTATTGAATATCAAAACCCACAATATCTAGCCGATGTAGTAAAAATCTATATTAGAAATCTTAGATTCAAAGATTCTAGAAGGTTTCAGAATGACCTAAGAACTTTTATTACTGACGCAACTTTTTCCCCTGCCAGAAAAAATTAACCATTGATGATTGGCTTTCTTCATCACATTTCTGATTCCTAGGGTCTTGGGCAGAGTCGCAAAAACCTCGATTTTAACTTACATTCACTATTTTCTTCGAAATACGTGAATCTCACAACAACAAAAAAAACATTTTCATTGATATAACAATTGATAGGGACGATTTGAAGGTCCAACAAACGATTGGAAATTGATATTAAGAAATTTATTTTTCGAAAAGAAGGTGTTGTTAAATACTCTGAAATTCATTCAAACACGCTTTTTTGATGGAATTATTCTTTCGTTTTAGAAGTCGAGTGAATACATTCTTTATTTGATTTTTAGGATATTGAAATGAGCATTAAATAAAAAATCAAAAACTCTACTTGGACTATATCATTTTCCTATATGAACAATAAATATTCATGTTCGTATTTCACCTAACATTAAATAAAATAAATTCCTTTGTCGAAATTCAAAATAGTTTTTCTTTTTCTGTCTAATCTATTTCCGTATTCCCGTTATATTAACTTCATTTCAATCAGATCATCATCGATAATTTCGTCATTTGTTTTTTCATCTTTGAAATGATCGTCCCAAGTAGCTAGGAATTATCTAGTAGTATTATCATATACTAAGTATTCTCTACGATATTCTGGCTTATATTTTAACACCAAAAGAATTCTTTGAAGGTTTTAACTTTCATCTTTCAACTTATTCTAATTGAGATTCATAAAATGAATTCCAATATTTCTCTTCTCAAGATATTAGATGATGATCTCTGCTAAAATATTAAATGCTTCTTGCCGATGTTTAAATCTTTTCAAGTAAATTCAAAAAGTCGTTAAAACATTTTCATGCGTAACTTTAATCGCTTACCTATCAATACTTAATGAATTTTTAGTAATAGTTTGGTTGAGGAAATTCAATATTGAAACAAATTTTATTTCGACGAGACTAGAAATAGACATCTGATACAACATCGTTATAAATATCAATATAGATTGGTATTTAACATCTTGTTGATCGGAAATAAGAATACTTAAACATAAAGTACTTCAAAAAAACAAAAACTAATAAGAATGATCGATATTGATTTTATTTTGTTATAGAACCCAGTCAAGCGTGAAAGCTAATTAAGAGAGACTACATGAGACCATCGAGAACCATGCCAGAAATTGAATCTCTCGATAAAATTTAATTGTTTTGATTTGATGTTCTCATCTTGTTCATCATCATCTAAAATCTCTAAATCCAAGTTTTTAGTACATTTCGTTGAGTTATTGAAAAGTTAGCCCGATTCGACTTTCGAATGCTGCAAAGTTAATTTGAATAATACCGTCAAAAATCATTAACATAAAGTTGAGATTCTTTTAATAACTACAAATTAATAAAATTTTTTGTGTAATATACCAAAAGATAGAGCATTGAAAGCTGAACTAGGATTTGGATAGATCTGTCTTTCTGCCACACTGACACTCAGGATTTACTAAAATAGAGATTCTCAATGAATCGTTTCAATCAAGATCTTTCATACTTTACATAAGAAAATTCTAAACATTAATGATTGATATGAATCAAAAGTGATCGTATCTTAACTCATATGAAGCTGTTTGACAATTTCAGACAATTATATAATCATAATCTAGTGTTAGTCTCCTAGAGCGAATTGACGAAAATTCTAGTGAGTCAAATGAAAATAAAAGGATGAAAGGACTTGCTATGGAACAAAGCTGAATCCAGTTAATGATGTACTTTGACCAATTAGGACTAGTTGATAGTGGCGAAAAAAAGTACAAATCTAAATATCATACATGATTACGTATGCATAGTACTTAGACCTGTTGGCAATCGTCAAACGGTTATCAATGTTAGCGAAAAATAGCATGTTACTGCATAACCCGATTCGTTACGACATCGATGTAATCATTTTTTTTTGGCATTGCAGTACCGAGCTGTACTTTGTCCCATGAAATTTATAATATTCTTTTGACCATGATTAGCACCATCAATATTGACTCTTCTTATCTTTCTGCAGTGATTTTTTTTTCTCTTTTTTACCAGGCATTGATCTAATGCATCTGTGCATTACACTGAATTATATAACAATGGCCTCTGTGTGTACTTCTGCATATATATAGTAGTGTAGACGAACATGACAATTCATCATTGCACACTATTCCATCATGTTCTCATTGACAATCGCTACAATTGTTCTTCTCGCTTTAACCAGCGTTTCTTATGCTGGCGAATGCCGAAACATTCCTACCAAAAAGGATTTCGATGTTACTAAAGTAAGTTATTTCTACTAGACATATTGCAAGTAACTTATATATATATATATCTATTATTGTTCTGAAATTTTTTAGTATGTCGGTTTGTGGTACGAAGCCTATCGAAGCAATGTTATCTTCGAAATTGGTTCTAAGTGTGTCAATGCCACGTACACACCGAACTCTGATGGAACTGTTGGTGTTTGGAATCAAGCTATCAATTTTTTTGGTAAATACACAAGTATTAGAGGTTCAGCTAGAGTAAAAGACTCAATGGAGCCTGCAGCACTTGAAGTCATATTTGATAATCCAAGTAAGAGATTCTTTGTCTTTTTTAAAATAAGATGTCTGATATATTCGTTTCTCTATAGATCAAAAAGGTGACTACAACGTTCTCGCTACAGACTACGATACTTATTCACTCGTCTATGCTTGCAGAAACATTCCTATTATTGGAAAATGGGAATTCATTTGGTTTCTTTCGTAAGTATTCAATCTTTTTTCATAATCCAACTAAAGTTAAATCTGCATTACAATTTACTTTTAGACGAACGAAAACTTTAGAACCATCGGTGGTTAACGAATTGAAAGGTATTCTATCAAACTATGGCGTCAAGACAAGTAGCCTGAAACCAACATCACAAGACTGTTAGATTATATTAATCAATCGTTTTTTTATAGTTCATATTAAAACTGTATTGACAAAAAGAAAATAAACGTCTTCTAGACCTCATCTCTTTCGATTGACACAAAAAAAAAGATTTTTTTTCGCTACTGTAACACAAATTTGCTAGTGCTTACTGTCTTTTCACATGTTTAAATGAAAATCGACTGAGTCAAACACGTGATTACCTAATGCTTTACATTTGAAAAGGCTTATTTCAACGAAATTGATATATGATGTTGCTCTTATTGGAGTTTTAATTTTCATAGAAATTTAATATGCATGATTGATAACTTGACAAACTGCAATATTAAATCTCTCACTTACCAATTCTTTGGTAAAATATTCGAAATGATTATATTTCTTTCATCGGTTACTCATATTATCGGACGTTTTTCTACATCAGAAGATTTTCTTACAAAAAGAAGACTCTTGTGAAATATGATATTAAATTTTAAATAGAAGATTTGAATTTTGTAATGAATCATGCTTCTAAATCCTTTTAGACTCATTCATATCTGAAGCCATTGAAGAAAATGTTCAGGCAAAGAAAACATTGGAAAGATCCAAAACTCCTGGACGTCAGCATGCTATCTAGTTTTATTTTCGAAACAAACTATCATGTTGAATAGAGTACATAAAATCTCTCCAACTTACTTTTAAAAGTTTATTTCAGATTAACGCATCTGGTGTTACAACCTATGTTAACAAGTCAGAGCGGTTATTGAAAAAGTGCATGTACAAGCTTAGTAACTTCAATTACGTGCAAATTCATTCTGAATAAATGAGCTCATATATAATAAAATTTTCATTTTCGTATAATGAATAACTAAAGTCGATGGGTCGTATTAGTTTTTATCAATAGTTTTAAAGAAGCTTGACATTCTTTATCTTACACAAGAAAAATCTAACTGTTTTTTAATTATGGGAAAATCATTTCATTCGTTCTAATGTGCAAGAACTTTAGGAAAATTCTCATAAACCAAATCGAAATTAATGTTTGGACCTTTCTTTTGATTTATTTTAAAATTTGTTTATGCGAGTGAAAACAAGTAAGTTAAGTGAAATATTAAATTCTGTAGACTTAATTTCAAGATTATAAGTTTTGCATCAGAATATCTAATTGAAACGAGTTGTACAATGGATGACAAGAGAGAACACAACTCAATTCTACCAAAAAATCTTGCTCACACTCGTTTCAAAAATAATTTAAAGTCTTATGCAAACAAACACTCTACATTGTTCGTTTTTTTTTGTAGGACTTTCAGAATGTCTGACGCCTAAGAGACAGAAGAAAATTTTTAGGTATTGATATGGCAGTTATTTTTAGTACACCAGCAATTTTTGTTATTTCGCATGGATTTATTCATTATATTACTGTTATGCTGCCAATGTTCGGTTATATCTGATTGATTTATTATCATTGGTCAATTATGAGATTTGTGACTTAAGTAAAATGATTCAGAATTTAAGAGAGAACAAGTGTAAAACATCTGACACAATTGGAAATACTTTTTATCAGACTAAACAATACAAAGAAAAGCATAATAGAATTTTTAAAGCTGAGAACTTTATTACTTATACCTCACCGTAATCATATACATTATTCTAAACGCAATAACTTTAATAGCATGTGAATGACATCGAGAACATACATTTCATATTACCGCCAATATAAATATATTAATTACCATCACATACTATGGAATACGTGGGGTGTAGGTATTTTCAATTTTTCATATCCACACCCTATGCTAAGGAAAGTGGTTATAGAGAACTATGGATATTTTAGATCGTTTTCAATTATATTGAAGATAAAGATATTTTTCTAAAACTCTATAGTTAAATGTTAGCAAAACATTTGATTGGTCAATTAAGTGCATCGGATGATTATGAAGAATCAATGATATCAAAACTAAAAGTGAATATTTCATTTCAACGTGCCATTTTATTTGCTATAATTTTCAGCGAGTATGTAGTTATGAATGTATATCAAAACTCGAACGAGTGTTTCAAGATATTGGTGTAAATTTTGAATTCCTGAATATGGAAAGTATTGTAAAAATCGCCACGTCACTAATATAGGTACAATGAATTGAAAGAATATTACATTCATAAAAGTTCGTCTGATTTATTTTTAGTTGATTTTTCTGTGATGATTCTCAATTCAAACTCATAGTCGTTCATCTCGTTTGATAATTCAATCTTTATTTTAGTTAAAATCTACATATGATAGTTTTACAGATTTTTATACTTATTATTATACTGATCAGAAGTTAACATGGCTTCATCAACATTCAAAAGGAGAATTACCAACATTTTCTACTTCAAAAAAAAATATACATTACAAGTAACTATTGATAATTTATGAAATCTTCAAACAAATTTTGTGTTTTAAAAAGTATCTACCTATCAAATGGTAGTTTTATTATTATTTAATAAAGCCTTAACTTAGACAGTTGAACGAATGTAAGATGAAACACAAATTAGAACCGAATTATTACTACAAGTTCTTTTAAGCTTATTGAACAGTAAATTAAAGATACTGATATCCAAACAAATTATTCAGTTCGTTGAGCTACTGATTTTATTTAATCTTTATTTCAATTTAAAACTCATCTTTTTCTAAAGCAAAATCGTTCCAATAAATCTAAATGTTCCATTAAACTTACTCAAACAAAAGGAGATCGAAGATGTTCATCAAACAATGGATGAAGGTCGTAAAATGGTTATTCAAACTGCAATATTACCTTTGGCTCCACAACTGGCAAACCAAATTCGGTTGTTTATATCCGAAAAAGGATTGACCGTCCTAGAATAATAGGATGATGGTAGCTGATGTGGATGTTGATAGGTTGTCGTTAATAATTCTAGATAAAATGAGTTTTTATCGATATCTGTGGATTGGATGAGTTGTACAAGAACGAAAACAACGAAGAAGTCTGAATATTTTATTTTGAATGAGTTTTATGAGTACGAAATTTAGTATAAACAATGTAGTTGGATCAGAATACCAACAGAAAATCTATGCTTGGGTGAAAAAAAAGAAAATAAATGAACAATATAATATTAAAAATCCAAAAAAATAAAGATAAAATCATACAATTGGAATGATAAAAGAAAACAGAACAGAAATCGTACAATTTTCATTATTATTTATCAGTCTACTGTTGATCAATCATCGACAACTACTGTCAACGTATGTATGATTTTCCCTGGACGTAATAAATAAACAGCTTATTACTACGAAGTGATTTATATTTTTGTCTTTTCCTATAAAACCGTGTAAATGCTTGGATGTGAGTGTGGGTGAAATGAAGAGCTACACCGACACTCTGTTTTGGTCGTTGCATCATCGCTTTCCCAACAGTACGAGTGGTTATGACCGTTTGTCCTCATCTATACATTGACCACCCGTTTGCCCTCGTGACCATTCTTCTATCTTGCCTATTTTATCACGCGCTTTGTATGCATATGTCCAAAGTTTGCATTGTGCTTCCAACATGCACTCTCTTCATCAATAACGACTCACATATGTGTTCTTTAGACATGTCAGACAACAATATCCACATGATCGATTCGACAACGGCCACCACAGTGGAAGTTCTAGCTCAAAATCAGCTAGAAATTGAACAACAACAATAATTAGTCCATTGTCCTTGGATATCGTTTCCGGTTAGTTATTTCGAATGTAATTGGAATAGCAGATTTAATCCTTTTCAAACCTTTATATTCTCATCTAGTGTCAATGGCGACTTTGGAAAAAGATTTTGAGTAATATCGTCTCGATTTTCATTCTGATTGGTCTCTACATCATTGGCTCTGAAATATTTCGACTTGGCTTACAAGTGTGGCGTCTTGCTTCACATTCTCAGGCTGTAATTATCTAAGGTTCGTTCTCTTTCCTCGAATATGTATCTAACTTTGTTGAACAGTCTTATATAGGTGGAATGTTATTGATGATCATTGATGCACTGCCAGCACTGGTTTTGATTCTACTTCTACTCGTTGTCTTCTATGCTTTGATTGTTCATGGATGTGACTATTGGAGCACACTTAAATCGGAAGAGTTATCAACAAAAACTTGGGATAAACAACGGGCTGAACGTAGATATAGATGATCGAGTAAAAGTACATATACTAAGTTTCTTGTAGAACAGCGAGTAGAATGGAGAACATACGAATCAATCTAGTAGCGATGATCTCTACAATGGTCATGATTGTTGGTGCAATAGGAACTATTTGTGTGATGATGAACTTTGTTCAATGGACAAATGCACAGGAAAAACTAGATTGTACTGACTCAGATGAAGTACAAATTGCTTCAATTGCAGAATTGTTTTGAGGTATTCAAGTATTCGTAGATCATTGCTGCCTATATGTTAATGACTAGTATTGCCATATCTGGTCTTCACCTGCCATTGCTTATACGAAAGAAACGTCATCAGATTCGTCGTTTCTATTCAGTATGTCGAAGTGATCGTTTGCACTCGAAAGAAGAGTCACAATCTAATCGAAAACATGATAACGACGATAAAAATTTGATGTTTTGCTGGGGTTTTATTTTTGAAAATCTCTTTTCCTAACCTACGCGTATCACAATATGACTTTTCTGCTATACACTACTTATCTTTCTAAATATCGTCCCACACCACTATGTTTTTGTTCTTTTTAATTATTTTTTTGCTGCGACTGATGTGAGGACATAAGATCACGAAACCATTCCATGGATATTTTTAGTATTAGCAAAAAAAATCAATACTTTAGGAAAAGGATCATGTTCAACAAATATTGATCCTTCTGTCTTACCAAAATCTATATCTCATGTATAGTCGCATGAATGATTACCAAATATTTACTGCATATATAATTAAAAGTTTTCGATAAAATTAAAATCATCTTTTTCAATTATTTTATTAATGAGTACGGCCTGTCATAAGAGAACGTCTCTTTTTTTACTTATTTTTTAGTAGATTACAAGCATTGTTC